TCGACCGAGAAGTGATTCAGAAACTATTTCAAGAATACAGAGTGCCTCTACCTTTAGTCAACCTTATTCAATAGTTACTTGATGATGGCACATTTCAAGCGATTTACAACAGAAAGCTCAGGGAAGACATTCAAGTAAAGACGGGAGTAGGACATCGCTATCAACCATCACCGATGGTATTTCTCATTGTCGTAAACTGAATCATGCAACAGAGGGGAGAGGAAAAAAGAAGGAAAACATTGGACCGATGACAGGACTCAAGAAAATCTGAAGTTCACCAACGATTTATGTCGAACATCACACAAACTCAGAAATCTAAAAGAGAAAAACAAGTTGTCAAGACAGGAAGCGAAGATAGGACTTTAAATGAACATAGAGATGACAGAGGTGACAAGAATACTCTACCATTCAAAAACAACAAGCACCAGTCACTATCAACGGGCGAAATCTGAAGGACGTCACCTCTTTCATTTACTTTACTTACACAGCATTGTTTCAACAACAGGTGGAACGGATGACGAGGTCAAATGCAGAATCGGGAAAGCAAGATAGACATTCACGAATTTTAAGTCACTTTAGACATCTGCCACGCACACACTATAACGAAAAAGAGCGGAACTGTAAACACTATATGGTTCAGATATGTAGCGCGTTACTAAAAGTATTGTAGGTTTTCACTAATAGCTGCATTCATTACATATCGAGGAGATGGCTGGGAAGGATACTCAAGCAATAAGGTACTCTGGTAAGCAACAAATCAACTAAAACAAACCACCAACCAACAAATATACATAACGAAATGGAGATGGATGATTTGACGTACGTCCAATGAAATCACACGCCAGGTCATCGCACCAGTGGAATCCAGTGTTACCCGATACAGTGTTCTGTGACTATTGTGCATCTCTACACTCATGTTACGTATGCCAAGTCATCACCTCCCTCGACGAGCTATGTTAGCGGATATAGGGTCAGGCTGGAAAAAAGCTAGCGGCGGTCAAACAAAAACTTGGCACGAGTCAATGAAATCCACAACAGTTGGTCTAAGCCACGTAGAAAGGTGTAGACTTCCAGGCTGGGGTCCTCGGGACGGCAAAAATCTATGGTTGGAAACAATTGGTGACATGGCTCAAAATCGTTCTCAGTGGCTAGCGCAGATGCATCCACTCCCTGTGACTTATGATCTCCAATGAAACTGTTTTGTTATTCTTTATTACTCCTCCTTTGTCTCACACCTCTGCTCACTGTTTCTATTATGCTTTTCTTGTACTTTCTTCTCTTGCTTCGCGTGCTACACGGAATGTGGCGACTTGAACTTCCGCACATTTGTGCAAAGTTCTATGTCGAAAACAGATAGACAGACAGACATGGCCACTAATGCTTTTTGTTGCTAGAAGGCGAGATGGAATATGATATGTAACAGTGGAGAATGAGGTACTTTAGATCATGAAAAATAACAGGGAAGGCGACACAAACTACAAAATACGTGGAAATCATTATCTTGTCCCAAACACACACGTGCTTGAGAATCACTTCAGCCTCCACACTTAGCTGAACTACTATTACGCTGACGACTGATGAGTTGTCGATAATTCGTGAAAATATAACTCGTATCATATTTTTGGATGCATTCGACAGCTGTCTGTCTGTCTGTCTGTCTGTTTGTTTTCGACATAGAACTTTGCACATATGTGCGGCAGTTCAAATCGCCACACTCCATTCGACAGCATTCAAAGGTCATTCAAATGCATTGCAATGCCAACGTGTTTAACTTTAGCAACAAGAAATCTAATCAATTGAAGACAATTGGCAAACTGCATAACACAATAGTAACAAAATCTAAAAGTATAATGGACATAAATTAATCATATTTAGTGTATACACTGTTTATTATTATTCCATTAGATTCCGATTGGAACACATGTGGTTATAATATCACATCATTATTCTTTACAATCTGCTGGTAAGCTTTCACTTCACCTTCGCTATCACACACAGACAAACTCACCCTTTCAAATTTGGGTTCCACTCGAGGACCTGATTGCCGTGTGATATCACTCAATGTGTCAAAATCCGCCCATCTCCATTTCCTTCTGCATATTTGTTAGGCGATATGCTTTTAGTTGGTTTGTTGCCAGTAATTGTCGTTCCTTATCATTTATCGCTAGCCATATGTGGCGGAGGTGTTTCTCACCAAAGTGAGAGGGCGAAAGCGGATGCCCGGCGCTCTCCACCGGGTTGACTGTCCATTGGATGACAGTCTAGGGGAGATGGCTAAACTCTGATTCCAAACCTCCAACGACTGGCGTATGAAGCTCACTGGAGCTCACCGGCAGACGTATGGACAAAGGGCTTGTTGGATGTCCTGGATGTCTGGCCCCATTCAAAAAGGCGTATGAACCGAACTCCGGTCATCGGCTGCCAATGGATAGTGGACTCCTTACTCCACTCCTACTGCCTTGTAGGTCACACTTGGCTGTGTAAAGGCTAGAGCTGCACTCTCAAACAAAAGGCCGAGCGATGCTGGGGACATCACTCGTACCAAATTCCCATGAAACTTCATGAACTCTCTTACAAATTGCCGCGCCTGGGCAGCGATGATTCGAGACGTTCATGAAGCCGGCTCATCCTCCCGTAGGAGATAGCCGAAGTAAAGTAAAGTAAGTATCGCTAGCCATATGCTCTTCAGTATCGAGCAAAAAGGGCAGCCATTGATGAAAGCCTGTAGTAGCCTGTTATGAAAGTTTTAGCAGATGTAAGCGCCAAGTATCTGAACTATATAGAAGCACTGTATGACTTGAAATTAATTAGTCTCGAAGAAAATTGAGATCTTGTTTTTTATGCCTCAGTGCAGCTGATTCGCACACTGATTTCAGGAGTAGTGAACACACCATGTCATGCTTTTCCGACCCTGCCTTTGACTTACTCATCTGTGCCACTGTCTTCAGATACTGTCTATATGACTGAAGTAGATGACTTCCTTTGGATTAGTAGCGCTTCCATACAAAGATGGAACCTCATAAACATCACCTAGAATTCTTAAAGACGCAAAAGTGCAAGTATGGCATACAACCAACCACAAAACTCACTAGGAAACAAATTATAGCCACTTAAAGAATCCTATAGAGCCCATTAAACAAAGTGATTTGGTTTACCTAATACCTTGCAATGATTGTGAGGTCAGGTACATGGATAAAAGTAGTAGGACGCGTTCAATATAGATTAGTTGACCCTAGACTAAGATAAGAAAATGGCTCAGCTGTAGCATTATATGGACAAGATGGTCGTGAAATCTAATGTAACAGGTCTGTCTGTCTGTTTTCGACATAGAACTTTGCACAAATGTGCGGAAGTTCAAGTCGCCACATTCCGTGTAGCACGCGAAGCAAGAGAAGAAAGTACAAGAAAAGCATAATAGAAACAGTGAGCAGAGGTGTGAGACAAAGGAGGAGTAATAACGAAGAACAAAACAGTTTCATTGGAGATCATAAGTCACAAGGAGTGGATGCATCTGCGCTGGCCACTGAGAACGATTTTGAGCCATGTCACCAATTGTTTCCAACCATTGATTTTTACCGTCTCGAGGACCCCAGTCTGGAAGTCTACACCTTTCTACGTGGCTTAGACCAACTGTTGTGGATTTCATTGACTCGTGCCAAGTTTTTGTTTGACCGCCGCTAGCTTTTTTCCAGCCTGACCCTATATCCGCTAACATAGCTCGTCGAGGGAGGCGATGACTTGGCATACGTAACACATGTCCTAACCATCTCAGTCGATGTAGCTTCACGACTTCGTCGATTGATTTCCCCTCCTTACCTAGAACTCTACGCCTAACCTCCATGTTGCTCACCTTATTATGCCACTTTACACGGGAAATAGAACGCAGGCACCTATGATCAAAGACAGCTAGTCTTTTCATGTCTTCCACTCTCAGTGGCCAGGTCTCACAACCATAAAGGAGGACGGAGCGGACTGATGAGCAGTACACCCGCCCTTTGGTCGATAGTCGAACATCTCGTCTACGCTAGAGTCGGCGTAAACTGGCAAATGCGGAACGAGCCCCCTGTATCCGTGCTGAGATTTCGTAACAGGTGGGAGATAGCAACACTGAGAAGTGAAGCTTTATTTATCAAAACAGGAATGATTCAACACTTGTCCACTCAGACACCTGGAAAATTCTATTGCTAGTACTACTACTACTACGACTACTACTACGGTCGTTCAACGTGCATCCTGTCAAAAAGGGCCAAAGAATAATAAAAATATAATGGCTTTCTTTCAAATATTATTTGTGGTACAAATATGGAATTTTCAGCCAATAATACAGTACTGCATCTAATTTTTGCTTTACATAATATAGGGATAATAATTAAAATAGAGGCATTGACACTGATAATCTTATTCAATAATATGAATATAAAATTAGTTGAAAATATTAACGATACAATAATGAAAACAATGCGGCCGTTTACTTAGAGTAGTACTGCAGTAAGCTAGTAGTCTCATGCCTTAGACTTTTCTCACCACATAAAATGTTTGCTAAATAAGGTATATTGTAGAGTTTCTGTACTTGTTCATGTGATCATATAGTCTTCTTTTGTTGCCTTTAGTTCTACCCGATGAAATGAAGCAAGAAGAGAATTGTGTATAAAGAGGATGCTCAGTATGTGACAAGATAATATTTTTTTTTCTAACTTCTTGCAGGAGTTCATGTGTCCATTGTCTACAACAGTGGTAACGAGTTGATTTACCGATACCCCACTACTATTCTTACAACAAATGGAAAAGAAGAAAGAGAACTGCGTAAAATCAAATTTCGTAGCTGTGAAGTTACAATTCATGACATGATTATAAATAATAGTAGATCGTGTTCGAAACGTCGACACATCTTGGAAATAATAATACTGTTTCACTCTGTGTCCGACATCCAATAAACATAAGTTAGTCGTCAGTGGTCAAAATGAATTCCACCCCACGCCACGCCACGCTACGCCGCTTACCTTATTTTCAGCTATAACTTCTAATGCAACAGCATATTTTTCATCTTTGATACGAAACAGCTTTGCAACAGGTCCGTGTACCCGACGTTTATCAAAATTAGGTTCCGGATTTGTATACTCAAATTGCAGTTGAGGAAATTGCGCTGACAATCTATTAGCCTGGTGACGTAGTTCGTTCGCCTCTCTCACTAAATTAACTTGGCGTCCTGTAAAATGGAGAAAGAAATGGCAAAAGTCATTTTCCTTTTTGTGTTACTTTTTGAAAACAGAGTAATAAACTGAGTACCGAAGAAATATGTATGTCCCCTTTCTTCGAATAGTTCCTAATCTGTTTCAACCTAGAACTACTGTACAGAGAAGTGTGCTAGAAGAAGAATAGTAACACGGAATAGTATGAAAATTTAATGGATACAGGATATCAGAAAGAGTGAGTACATCTGCGCTATTCAGGACGACTTTAAACTATCTATCACCTACACGTCTATACATGCATGACTGGTTCGAAGCAACTGTCAAAGACTTAATGGACTGATCCAAGATTTTGGCATGACAAATCTAAACTCTTTTCCAGAATAATCCTCTATGTCAGCATGATACTCTCATTCAATTAACTCACGACAGTTTTCACCAAGCAATGAAACTCTCAATCTCACCCCCACCCCCTTACCTCCACCAGTAAACGACAAACCAAACATAAATACACAATATACCTAGTATTATGTGCGTCAGTGACTCAGTGTTAGAATGTTTGCCAACAACGCACACACGGGATCCAAGGTTCGATTTGCCTGACTACTTGTCGCACTCGTAACACATCAACTAGTTTATTGATAGCCAACGGAAGCCAGCAGAAAACAAGGATGATCGGATTTGGCGTGAGGCTATCAGGAACACCACGACTACTGAAACTCAAAAAAGCTGGAAGTTTAAAAAGGCCATATTTTCCACTCAGAATGCATAAAGGAATAAAAGAAGAAATAATGAGAACATACACTAAACTCACCACATAATTCAGCTTCGCTACCAACAGCTTGATCATCGGCTTCAACTCTTGCCAGCTGTTGACTTAGTTCTGCAATCTGTGCTTTTAATTTCTCCTGCTCAACTTCTTCTTTTGATTCCCCACTACATGATATACGGCCGAATGCTTTGATAATAGCAGCCTCCTGTTTAACCAGTTCTTTCTTTAAATATTTTTCACGCATATTCAATTCTGCCAGCTCAGTTTCTGCTGAAAGCTTTTCAGTATCTGCAGTTCTAGCCTGTTCTGATAAACTAGAAGTTACACCATTCTCTCCGCTCGAGAGACCTGATTTCACTGCCTATACATATAAAAAAAAGATAATACGATACTTTCATTTTTGTAAGCGTTTGGGTTGAATTGTGATAGGGTCACGCGAATTAGCAGTAACATACGCGGTAATCACGACTATCGCTTGATTGTCAGACACCACCGCTATACAACAACCACTAATCGATTTCTGACCCCGGTGTACTCATACATATATATATATATATATATGTTAAATAGTGGAAACGCCAAAACCAACGCCAGGAAACTCCTAGAAGACTGGTTGCTACTCAGACGAATCAGCGATAAACAGACACACACACTATGACAGATCAAATTTATCAGTCACACGACATATAAAAAGTTCAATTCCGTGTTATGAAAAACGATCAGTACTGACGCAGGCTGAATAAGCTATCACAACAAAGGTTCTCGAAAGACACAATTACATCACTCATGGAGGAGAAATTCAAATAAGTTTACCCTTCATAGACTGAAGTTTGTGCTGAAGTTATGTTGTCTGGAAGGTGAACAATGAAAGGCACTTCGCAATTATAAACCGCCATTCACAGCTCAAAGAACAACTCAATCGCATCGAAATAAACAATTACTGGTCATTTCAAAAATAATAGCACAGAAACATACCTGCAAATGTTTTTCTGCTGCCTCAAGTTTCACTTTCGCTTCTTCAAATGCTTTTAAAGTTTGTCGATACTGCTTGCCATCGGCAGCATCTTCAGCAGCTTTATGTTTACACAGCAGCTGTTCATCCAGGTCAATACACTGGGCTTCCATGGCTTTAACACGCTTTTTAGCAGCACGCAGTGATTCAGATGCTCTTTGAGAAGCTCCTTTAGCAACAGCATCTGCTTTTTGACATTCTGACATGGCATTTTCTAGCTGTTCAAGCATAGGACCTTGATACTTCATAGAAAAAGAAAATGAAAAAGGCCTTTAGAGGATAATATTAAGAATATTTTTTTCCTTCACGTTCCCCAGTGGAACATAGGGCCTCAAGCTAGAGGCTTGAAGTTTCTATAGCAATATTTAATTTTACAGGATGGGGTTGCTAGCCTCATCTTTTCTCTTTACCAGCATTATTTCTGGTTTAGTGAGGTAAAGGAGTCCATCGGCCGGGAATCGAACCCTGGACCATGTGCATGGTCGGCGAGCGTCCCAACCGCTGTGTCACCGACGCACAGATTAGGAATATTAAGAACACAAAACTATTCAGTGAAGAGATACACTCTTTCCGATGAATTTATTATCAAGCTATTCAAACGTATGTATATATGACGTTTTAGGAAAATATAACAAAACTCATGAGGAAATTTAAACAAGGTGTGAACACTTAAAATAATAACAATGTGAACAACGATAAACGCTGACCATTTTTTTTACTTACAGCTTGATTCCACACTGTATTTTTGGTACAAGTATGGAATTTTCAGCATGGATATCGGTAGCCCAAATTTTGCAGGCCGACCACGGATATCAGGTGTGAGTCGGAAGGGGTTCGAACCTCGGACCATGTGCATGGTCGGCGAGAGTCCTAACCACTGTGCCACCGACCATGATATTTTAAGATCATTTATAGAATTCAGGCTAACTTATTCATTTATTATTTTATTCCTTTACGTTCCCAGTGGAACACACAGCTCCAAGCTAGAGCTTTGAAGTTTCGGTAGCAGTGGTATTTATTTTTACGGGATGGGATTGCTAGCCACATGCTCAAACTCCACTCTTCACCGGTCTTATTACTAGCTTAGCGAGGTAAGGGAGTGCGTTGGTCAGGTATTGGACCCCGAACTATGTGCATGGTTAATATATGTGTAAAACTTGGGCCCCGTGGTAGTAAGTAATTCCATATTAGTTTGTTTATTAGATATATCACACATTGAAACAGTATTATTTGATTATGAACAATAAATTTCATTCGAAACGTCATCCAGTAAATAATACTGTTTCTTCACTGTGTTGCATCCGATGAACAAACTAATATGGTATGTGCATGGTTGGCGAGAATTCCTACCGCTCCGCCACCGACGCACAGGTCAACCAGCTGGCAGGTTTTTTCTTTGTTCTAAGCTTCTACAGATATTGGCCAGTTTTTGGGTATTCACGAATTCAAGTTATATACACAAAAGAAGTATGTGTTACAATGTCTATTTCCACCTTGGCTGTAGAGGAATAAATATTTATTTATTTATTTTCGTTTCATATTAAATTACTCAATTCTTTCTATGAACTCAAAGCCATCATTTACGTTATTTTTCACGAGTTTCTTGTGCAACGACCGTAATACTTCCACCAACCATCTCACAGTCTGTCTGTCTGTTTTCGACATAGAACTTTGCACAAATGTGCGGAAGTTCAAGTCGCCACATTCCGTGTAGCACGCGAAGCAAGAGAAGAAAGTACAAGAAAAGCATAATAGAAACAGTGAGCAGAGGTGTGAGACAAAGGAGGAGTAATAACGAAGAACAAAACAGTTTCATTGGAGATCATAAGTCACAAGGAGTGGATGCATCTGCGCTGGCCACTGAGAACGGTTTTGAGCCATGTCACCAATTGTTTCCAACCATTGATTTTTACCGTCTCGAGGACCCCAGCCTGGAAGTCTACACCTTTCTACGTGGCTTAGACCAACTGTTGTGGATTTCATTGACTCGTGCCAAGTTTTTGTTTGACCGCCGCTAGCTTTTTTCCAGCCTGACCCTATATCCGCTAACATAGCTCGTCGAGGGAGGCGATGGCTTGGCATACGTAACACATGTCCTAACCATCTCAGTCTTTGTAGCTTCACGACTTCGTCGATTGATTTCCCCTGTTTACCATCTCACAGTAGGGTGACACACCCAAGATGTATGGCTCACTCAAGATTTATCTATTTATTTTTCATTTTGTTTATTTATTCTCTATACACCCTTTCCCTCTGTTATTACGGTTGTTATTATTTTTTGTGTTTTCCGCTTTGTCCACTTTGAACAGTTCCACAGACATAACCTCACTTTTCAATTTAATATATATATATATTCTCAAGTATTGGTTTTATAGAGATTGTGTTTGATTGCATGGAGGATTTCATCAAGAGCTGACATCAGTTAGAGAACCACTACTGAGAAACCTGGGAGTACTGGACAGCTGTTCCATCCTAGTTTGGGACTCCTTATCAGTACGCACCCACTGGTGTTTGAACCCAGGACCTTTTGGTTACAAGGCGAGCTGGTAGACCATTGAGCCACTTCGACCCGGTGGTTCCAATGGCCCATGAATTCTAACTTCTGCTAATTCATGACATAGCGCGACCATCTAGCAATGTCTTCTTCGACAAGTTACTATCTCACCTTAAACCTGCTGTACCCTACTGGGCACGGTTCCCCCCCCCCACTAGAACCTCAGGTAATAGGGCCAGTCGCTATATATATTCCTTGCAATGTTAAAATGGTCTATTTTATCAAACGTTTCACCGTGTTATGTAATGTTTTTATTTGCCGACTAATCCTTATTGATCAAAAGTTAATTTTTAAAGCTCTTTCCAAGGTCTATACATCCGATGAACTACTCCATATATTGTATAATCTATCTTATTATCGCTTAATATTGAACTATGTTTATGATCACAAACATTTCAATGGATTTCATATTATTATTATTATTATAGTTATCATTTATAAGTATTCACACTACGTGATTTAAATTACCTCACGGGATCTGCATAGTTTCTTAAAACGCCTCATATATGTACATGGTTACTGTACAGCTTGATAATAAATTCGTTGAAAAAAATAATCTATCCATCCTGAATTATTTGTTTTATTAATTTTGCTTATAGAATAAGAATTATTAAAACAAAACAAAAAATATCAGAAATAGCCTACCTCATCTCTCTGATTACAAAGTTCTTCTATTCGACTCTCAACAGCCTCTTTTAATTTGCGTAACTCTTCCATACGTGCTTTCTCATCCTTCAAATTCTTTTCCAATGTGACTAGATCATCTTTTGAGCGTTCTTTAATCTCCTAAACATATTCAAGGGTTAAAAAAAAACAAAAAGTTCCACCTTCTCAACTCACCTTTAGACAAGTGAAATCATATGCAATGATAAACTTCTCCAAATGACTGACTTCACGCATAATTTTTTCATACTCTAAATATGAGCTACGCTCTTCACGAAGTTTTTTAATAGTTGGGTTAATATCCTCTGCGATAATCTAAAAGAAATAAAAGAAATTGAAAATGAAGTAAATATCTCGTATATAGAAAGCCAGAAAAATAAAAACTGACGGTCCACAATATATATTAGATAAGTTGATTAAACGACAGAGAGTGATACATTCAATGCATTGATTGATAATTGATTGACGACGTTTATTTCAAGGACAACTTTTACTGCCACTGCTTATAATCACTTCAATCAAATGTATCCATCACACGACGACTTGATAACTGGCTTTATATAATGAGTACTCCCCTCCTGGTTTTTTTTCGGCAATTTTCAATGTAAAAAAGTAACAAACCGAGCATTTCAGTCAGTTTACAAGCTATTTTTGTCGAATTCACTTTTCTTCTCTGATCTGACTGTGCAATCATGTTTAATGTACAGATTTTCTTCTCATAAAAGAAGATAATAACAAAAGTAATAAGTTGTCATATGCATAGTAAACATTAGTCAGTCCATAAGAGGGGAGTATTTAGTTATGTAAAAAGATGACTAATACGATGAATGAGTTGTAATCAGGGGATGTGCATAGAAACAAGTGGCAAATACGGCATTACTTAAGATTTCGAAAGAAATACAAGAATTATAAAGAGTTAAGACAGACAGACAGACAGACAAAATTCTGGTTGATAAAGACCGACAAGTTTGTTACAATGACAACAGAAGTGGTTGAATAATCCTCTTTTTGCATGCAGGACTTAGATCTCTCTTAATCTATATATGTCTTGAGCTTCAGCAATGCCAAAGAGACGAGAGCGTATTGTCTTTGGCAGGTTGTTCTTCCCTGTGTGGGTTAATTTGAGAGAGACAAAATTCGTCAGAATAAAGACCTAACAGATTTAATTAAGGAAAATAATATAATTTATCAAACAACTAATTACACAGATAAAGCCAGAAGATAGGAGCCAATAAGATTATAGGAACATAGGAACTAATATAGATCTAAAATGACTGATCCTAAAAAGTTCAACGCTTATCCTAAATATGTGGAAAATTACTATAAAAACTATCACAGAGTAGGACCATATAAAGCAAGTTATCAAGTCATCTGATGGATACATTGATATTATTATGAGTAGTAGCAATAGACATGCTTGAAATGTCGTCACCTAGTCATTAACACCGTATCACTTACTGTATACACATACATATATCATCAATTACACTTATACAATATGAAACTATATATATTGTACAACAAAGAGAGGAAGAGACAAAAAAAAGCACTTACTTTATCCATTTCTCTAAGTTTACTATCTTTCTTTTGAATAGTTTTAAGCGCTACTTCCTTCTTGTTTTCATAAAGTTTTGTACTCGCTGCTTCTTCTAATAATGACAAAATCTAACGGAAAGAAAATCACGTTTTTTAACCACACAAAAAGTCGACAGATATAACCTACCTCAGGTGGTTTCATATTCAGTATTTTTGTAATCCTTCCTTGCATGATCAAAAAGTGTGGATTATTCACATTCAATTGAACAGAGTGGAACAAGTCATGTACACGTGTTGTAGTAGCATTTGTTCCATTGATAAAATACTTTGTTTTTCCTCCGATAGAAATTTGTTTTGTAATTGTCAACTCTTTAAACTGCTCATAACCATATGGCGATGATGCTTTATCCCTATTGTCGAATACTGCACTCACTATTGCTTTTGTAATTCCAGCTTGTCCACATTTATAGACTAATTCATGCAGATTGGAAGCTCTAACCTAAAACAATTCAAAATAATGTGAGAAAATCTTTGAATAAAGCTTTATTCAAATTCATCAAGGGGAATAAATGCATGAGAAAATCTTCATGTTTTATGCAATTAAGAACATATAAGTCAGCAAAGTAACCTCTTCTGTTCGTAACTTCACAGCTGTATACTGTTGTCTATGTATATATGTATACAAATATACAGAAAAATATCGCGAATTGGCATAGGCGGGAATTCATCGACCACTGGATCGAGTCCCAGTGGCTGAAGGGTCAGCAAGCCGGCCTTGTAACCTGGAGTTCTTTGGTTCAAACCCTTGTAGGTGCGTACCGTCACAAAATAAGACAAAACAGCTTACCGGTACTCCCTGGTCAACTAATGGTTCCCTGATTGGCATGGGCTTTTAATTCTACCTTCAAACAATGTTAATTGACAACAGATGTCAGGATTATAGTAAGTTAGTAACAAAGTAGATCAAAGAGTATGAATAAAACAGTTTAAATTTAAACAAAGCATTTGGAAGACAAATGTCGCGAGATACTTATCATTCCGTAGTTTCTCTACAATCGCTTTACAATTGGCATGGTGCGTGATAAAATAACAATCGGTCAGTTATATATAAAACAAAAGTACGTGCTAATAATCATATTTAAGTGGGTCAAGTAGTCCATAAGCGGCAAAGAGGTTGAAGTCTGTTGCTTTTACAGCACAGTTTGGAATGCATGAGTATGATAGCAATGTTTGAAAAACTGCGAATTATCTTACGTAATCGTAAGGGCTGACAACTATTTAGTTAAATGGTGAATAATCACTTATATATAACTGATGCGGGACAAAAGATTGAAAATCGGTTAAAAAAACAAAAGGATCAGATAGTTTATTACACAACCATTCAAGAAAACAAAAAGTTCACGATAAGACCATGGCAGTAAAAGGGGCTGGATAAAAACGCTTCACAAGACAAAGTTCAAGTCTCTCCTTATTGATTGCCAAGGTTCTGTCTGCATGAGGATAAAGGTGAAATTCTTTTGTGAACGGCTTGATCTTACTGTATACATAAGCCGTTCACAAAAGAATTTCACCTCTATCCTCATGCAGACAGAACCTTGGCAATCAAACGCCACTCGCACACTTCGTTACTAACTGACAAAGAACAACTTCTGACCCGTTGTCAACTCTTATATATATATATATATATATATATATATATATATATATATATATGGCTAACCGTACAGCATTGAATTATGAAGTTAAGAAAAGAGAAGAGATCTTTTGCTAACCGAATGACTCGTGTGTTCTTAAATCACATCACCATAAAATATAACAGGAACAAAATATCCCACAACTCACATGGGAAAGATTAGTTATTCCAAGTAAAAAGCATATTGCGTCAAGGATATTTGATTTTCCTGAACCATTCAATCCCGTAATTGCATTAAACTGTGGATCAAACCCCACGATATCAGTTCGCTGACAGTATGATTTAAATCCATCAATCATTAGCGACTTTATATACATTATGATGCACAGGGCACAGGTGTAATCTTACACACAACACAACCTATAAAGACAAAAAGAAATTACACAGATGACAATTTATATTTACAAATTTAGACCTACAACGTAGACATCCAGTCTTTAAAACCATAGCAAATACTGTGTGAAAGGTCCCCCACCCGACCAAAAGCTGCTACCTTGACGTGGTGGTCAGGCTTGAACACCGCAATGACCTAATCAAGCTATACTGGCTGAGACTTATGTCTCTTGAGGTCCTACCATGCCAGAAAGGTTGTTTGGATAGCGGTTAGACAAAAAGCACCTACCCAATCCAACACTATGATAAATACAAACTCACAAAATATCATCCCATATCGGCCGGGGCTCGGATTAACAACGACCGCGCTTCCTGCTGCCGTGTCACAGGGCAGAAGTGATAAATATGCTACTGAGACACACAAAACAATAACGAACAAAGAAAAGCAGGCCGCGTGTGACCGGCCTCAAGCAGTTGTCCCCTGGGCTCTGCTGTCACGCAACCAACTTCCACGGTGTGGGCAGCCGGGAAGTAACAATCGCCCTCACAATCCGAAATGCACACGAAACCTCTCTAATCCTCACTCATCTTTGTCTTCATCTTCATCTCTATCATCTTGCCTTCCTTCCACTGATGCAACTCCTCTACTTGACAGCTCTTCACTTCCTCTTAACTCTGTGTCCACTAAAAACGACGGAAGCCAAAAATCCACCACCGATAGTCTCCTAAAGCCACACCACCAATTTTATACAGGAGCATTTAATGTTAGGACAATTTGCCAAATAGGGCAACAAGCATCACTAGCCAAGACTTTGGCATCCCGAGCCATTGATGTATGTTGTGTTTCAGAAACACGCATACAAGACCCAAGTGTGGTTATTCACCTAACCCCACCTGGCCAACAGGTTGTATCTGCAAAATTCACCTTGAGGGTGTCAGGAGATGCCACAGCTAGTTCACGAGGATCAGCTGGTGTGGGGATAGCTTTGAGTACTAGGGCAGAAAAGACATTACTTGACTGGATCCCAGTAGATAACCGAATGTGTGCTGTCCGTCTCAACGGATCGGTAAAAAGGACAAAGGACTGCACCACTCGCCGATGCCTTTTCGTAACCTCCGCCTACGCCCCCACTGACTGCAGTTCGGATGAAACGAAGGATGAGTTCTACCAAAAGCTGTCTAGTTTGTTGCGAAAGGCTAAACGCTCAGATATAGCCGTTCTAGCTGGTGACTTTAATTCCATATTAGTTTGATTATTAAATGTGTCACACAGTGAAACAGTATTGTATACTGGATGACGTTTCGAACACAATTTACTGTTCATAATCATATCAATTTTTGTCACATGACTTCGAGATTTGCTTTTTATAGTTTTCTCTGTCTTCTCCTATTTGTTGTATGGGCAGTAGAATTTTCCATATATCTGGGACAGGTGTTGAATCATTCCTATTACATGTATTTGCAGTTGATTCGATAAACAAAGCTTCTGTTATCAATCTCTCCCTATACCCTGTGACATTAGATTTTAAAATTGTCATCCTATCCCATCCTATTGTATGGTTGTGTGTAACTGCATGTAGTGCTATAGCTGAACTACTCTCTAGATTTCTTATCTTATTCGGGTCAACCAATCTAGATTTAGCTAGGTTTTTATGTTCGGCTAGTCTGACTGCCCCTGTTCTACTGGTTTGACCTATGTATTTGACCTCACAATCATCGCAGACAGGGTATTAGATAAACTAAATTGTTTTGTTTTAATGGCTCTACAGGATCATTTAACCGACAAAGCTTGTTTCTAATTGAGTTTGTGGGTGACTTGAATGCCACTTTTATTCCTGCCTTGTTAAGAATTCTGCGTAAGGCTTCCGAGGTTCCTTCTTTGTATGGAATTATTGTTGATGATTTACATTCCTTATTGTTGGTTTAAAATCTAATGTCACAGGGTATAGGGAGAGATTGATAACAGAAGCTTTGTTTATCGAATCAACTGCAAATACATGTAATAGGAGTGATTCAACACCTGTCCCAGATATATGGAAAATTCTACTGCCCATACAACAAATAGGAGAAGACAGAGAAAACTATAAAAAGCAAATCTCGAAGTCATGTGACAAAAATTGATATGATTATGAACAGTAAATTGTGTTCGAAACGTCATCCAGTATACAATACTGTTTCACTGTGTGACACATTTAATAAACAAACTAATATGGAATTATTTAATACCACAGTGCCCAAGTTTTACACATATATGGTGACTTTAATGCCGAAGTAGGGAAATTGTGTCAATCTGAGAAGGATGTCGGTGGCACCTATGGAGTTCCGTGCTAGCGAACTGACAACGGTGACCGTCTCCTACAGTTCTGTCCAGATAATCATTTGTTTCTTGTAAGCACTAACTTCAAACACAAGGAGATTAACTGTTTGACCTGGCGACCCCCTTCATCAAATCAACGCTGGACACAAATAGACCATATAGCAATAAGCTATCGTTGGCGTGGGTCGGCAGGAGATTGTCGCTCCTTCTGGAACACGCGTGTAGATACCGATCACGCACTGGTCCGCGTTCGTGTGTGCTTACGACTGAACGGACGTAGGAAACACCCAGCGGTAAACCCAGCACGTCCCCAGCTCGATCAGGAAACTAAATCCCTATTTGAGGAAAACTAGCTAAACACATATCTGAGTTCGACAGCTGTGCTCACCCTGGAGAAGCCTGGAAGAATATTCAGTCAGCCACAGATACAGCTGTAAAAGCTGTGGATAAGGTAAACCCAAAGGTGAGTAAAGACCATTGGGTTTCGACTGCCTCATCCGAACTGATAGATGCTAGAAGACTTATTCCGGCGAGCTCCGAATTCAATGAGGAGCGAAAGCTGCACAAAAGGAAACTTACGAAAAGTCTCCGCAAGGACCGTGAACAGTGGTGGCTGACAAAGGCGAAAGAGATGGAAAAAGCATCGGCGATAGGCAACACTAGGCAACTCTTTAGACTCATCAGGGAAACGGGTGGGAGAACGCAATTCATAAGTGAGACTATTTCTGAGAAAAATGGCTCCCTAATTAGCTCTCAGGATAGACGCCTTGAACGCTGGAAAGAACACTTTGAGGGACAATTTGACTTGCCTACAGCCACAATGAAACTCCCCGACATCCAGCACACACCCGAATGGGAAACAGACATTGGTCCGCCGTCTGTAAGTGAGGTCACAAAAGCTGTCTGTAATTTGAAACAAGGCAAAGCGGCAGGACCCGACGGAATTATTCCGGAGGTGTTTAAATATGGGGTCAACATACTAGTATGTAGGTTAACTAAGTTACTAGGTAACGTCTGAGAATTAGAGACGGTTCCATCAAACTGGGATAAGTCACTTATTATACCGATATTCAAGGGAAACAAGTCCTCGTGTGATAATCATAGGGGAATCAGACTAACGAACATAGTCTCTAAAATCCTAGGCTCAGTAATCATGCATAGACTAAACAGAACTCGGGAGGAACAGACAAGGGAAAATCAAGCAGGCTTTAGACCAGGTAGAGGGTGCATAGATCATATCTTCACTCTTCGACAGATTCTAGAACATAGACACACTTTTCGGCGTCCAACAATTGTCATATTTCTTGACTTGAAGGCGGCCTTCGACTCCGTGGATCGAAAGGTACTATGGCGATGTTTGACTGTGAAGGGAGTGCCAAGAAAGTATATTGCACTAATCAAGGCACTCTATTCAAACTCACGTAGTCGTGTAAGGGCTTATGGGGAATTGTCATCTGAATTGATAACAACCAGTGGTGTCCGACAGGGATGTCCACTTTCCCCATTTCTGTTTAACTTCATCATAGATATGCTGGTGGAAGTATCCTTAACTGAACTTAACGACTTAAGAATCGACTTGTTACCAGGAAATAATCTTATGGAGTTAGAATATGCAGATGACATAGTCCTGTTAGGAGAGGATGCTGACAAAATCCAGCAGTCTTCTGAACACCTTGAACAGCAATCTTCGTATGTTTGGCATGCGATTCGCCCCTGCGAAATGTAAAATGCTGCTACAGGACTGGACTACGTCAACTCCTAGCTTAGTGATAGGGAGTGAAGTGATAGAACATGTTGACCACTTCATCTATTTGGGAAGTTGTATCAGCACCAACGGACTGATTGGCGATGAAATTGCAGCACGGATCCAAAAAGCTCGAGCTGCTTTCGCTGACTTACACCATCTCTGACGTAGGCGTGACATCCGGCTATCAACCAAGGGACGTGTGTACTGCTCAGCACTTCGCTCCGTCCTTCTCTATGGCTCCGAAACATGACCAATACTAGTTTAAGACATGAAAAGGTTGGCTGTTTTTGATCATAGATGTCTATGATCTTTTTCTCACCTTAGGTGGTATAATAAGGTAAGTAATGTTGACGTTAGGCGTAGAGTGTTGGGCAAAGAGGGAAAATCAATCGACGAGGCTATAAAGTTACATAGATTGAGATGGCTAGGTCGCGTGCTGCGCATGCCTAACCATCGCCTCCCCCGACGGGAATTAATAGCCGATATAGGTGCAGGTTGGAAAAGAGTAAGTGGTGGCCAAACAAAAACATGGCATCAATCCATGAAATCCTTGATAGTTAAACTGAGTCAGGTAGGGAGATGCAGACTCCCGGGTTGGGGGCCTCGGGACTCTAGGAATCAATGGCTGGAGACAATAGGTGACATGGCTCAAAATCGTTGTCAATGGCCAGCGTAGATGTATTCAGTCTCTGTAATCTTTCATATTCCTTTCTACCATTACCCATTCTGTTTCGCTCTTATACTTGTCAAACTCTATTGATTCTCATCACCCATCTTCTTGTCTACCTTTGTGCGCTATTTGGGACGTGACAACTTGAACTGCTGCACTTCGGTGACAAGTTCTATGTTGAATCCAGACAGACAGAGAGACAGAAAGGTCCCCGACAGATAGTTGCTACCCTGATACTTGGTGATAGTGGTCGGGCTTGTATATCGCAATAACCACCAAGGAGCTACACTGTCTGTTCCTGTGAGTACTACCATACCAGAAAGGTCATTTAAGTAACGGTTACACTGAAAGTAGTTGCCATTACATACTCAGTTATTTACACTATGTTGTGGGGATCTGTGGGCGAAGTCATACTGCTGGCAAATACAAATGTAACAGCATTAAGGTGCCCCCCCCCCTGACGAAAAGTATGGCAACCATGCTGTCTGTTCATCCTTAAGGATGGGTATAGGTTACAAACTGTGGACTTCGGAAATTGTGCATCCCGACTTACCTTGCCGGTGGTAAGAAGTTACTACGGACACAACTTCATAAACCATTCTAAACAGGCTATATCTAGGCCGTAAAACTTTTCTCCAGGGCCCTGCCGTCAAACAATATCAATGCTCCTTGTTTCAGATATCCTCATGAGGAGTAGAAGGCAAATGGCAGGAGTGGATGGTGTACCCCTATATTAGAAAAAGATTTTGAGTGGGGTACCACGAGGATATTTTTTAAAGCCTCTCTCGTTTTGTAAGCACATAAACATTATCGATGATCCCTAATTCTTCATTATTATTTGCGGACGATATTAAGATCCAGAAAACTAAATAATAATTGCAACAGATCAACCTTACAAGATTTACATAAATCATCTGAATACTTTAAAAGGTGAATATATATCACTAACTGCAGAAGTACCCAACAGAAAGATATAACACCATATTTTCAGGAGGAAACACAATCGCCCGATGTTAAGGGACACAGATTTAGGGATTATTGTCAGCCATGACTTGTAAGCAGCTGCCACTCAACGTACGTGCATACAGGCTATTAGTCTATGTACCGATGAGGTAAGAGTATTCGAAAGAGTAAGAAAGGGTAGATACTGAATTATTCAGTGGCATATCACATCTTTCTTAAGACAAGCGGGAACATCTTAATCTCTTCTCATTGCCATAATTAAGGAGATATGACTTGACTTTGGTATAAGGTACGTGGTATAAGGTACGTCCCGAGCGATGCTGGGGACATCACTCGTACCAAATTCCCATGAAACTTCATGAACTCTCTTACAAATTGCCGCGCCTGGGCAGCGATGATTCGAGATGTTCATGAAGCCGGCTCATCCTCCCGTAGGAGATAGCCGAAGTAAATGAAAAATAAATGAATGAATGTACGTTGAGTGGCACCCAACGTTTCTCTCCTTATAGGACACATTTCAGGGGCCATCAAACCACAGACGAATAATATACGAACATATAACAATCCATATGTACTATATACTGGGACTTTTCACTTGAAGTGGTATATGCTGTCATTTTTGGAAAGCAAATGGATCTACACAATGACATATATTGCAAAAACTAACACCTGCTATAAAAGCTTACCACATTTTGCCACCTAAATCTAAATTTTCCCGGCAGTTGAGAAGGTAACGTTGAACGTTCAACTATACAGTTCACAAATAATTCTGTGTAGGTACAGGATAGTCAGGATCAACTGAGAACTGTCTTCCTTGACAATGGTACATGATGGTGCATTACATAGCACTACACTCAGCCAACACTTATTTATCCTGAATCTGGACACATTAAATCTCTATTTTAATCCCTTACGTTTCCAGTGGAACATAGGGCTTCAAGCTAGAGGCTTGAAGTTTCGGCAGCATTGATTATTTTTACGGTATCGGGTTGCTAGCCTCATGCTCAATCTCCCCTTTTCACCAGTCTTACTACTAGCTTAACGAGGTAAAGGAGTGCGTCGGTTGGGGATTAAACCCCGAACCACATGCGTGATTGGCGAGCATTCTACCGCTGTGCCACCAACACACCATTAGATCTATGGCTTCCTCTAAATCTGACCTACAAAATCTTGGGATGACAGTCCTCATAAGACTCGCACATAAAAGAACTGGACAGGTGCAGATTCTTATGAGAAAAGCAATCACAAGGGCTTTGGGCCTCTAGTCCCCAAATGAATATATTTGAATATAATATATTATAATAAATAATAATAATTTTTCCTTCACGTTCCCAGTGGAACATAGGGCTCCAAGCTAGTGGCTTGAAGTTTCTGTAACAGTGTTTAATTTTTACAGGATGGGGTTGCTAGCCTCATGCCCAACCTTTCCTCTTTACCAGGATTATCTCTGGATCAGTGAGGTAAAGGAGTGAGCCGGCCGGGGATCGAACCCCGGACCATATGCATGGTCGGCGAGCGTGCTAACCGCGATACCACCGACGCACTAATATATTATAGTTAACCTATAAATTGAGTAACAGATGGACAGAAACTTTAAGGTGGGCTCCAAATCAATGGAGATTACGAAGTAAACCACTCTCAAATGCCCATAACTTCTACTAAATACCCAAAGATTAGCGCACTAGTAAATTAGGCTATAACTTTATCATTGAGAACTAATTGATATCACTCCAGAACTCGCACCTGGTGTAGTAATGAAATAAAATTACACACGAAATGCACAAAAAGAAACCACGCAAAACTTATATGCTTAAAATTTTTCTAGCAAATAAGGACTATTCTGAAGAACATCAATAGGAAAACAAGTACCAAACAACAGAAAATCGAACCTCCGCGAATGTTCAAGATTGTGACCTTGAACGCAACCCCCCACTTAACAAGTAACCCAACAAACTATGGTAGAATTAATTAATACTGAACTGAACACTTAGATGTGTAGAAGCAGTTCTGGTTCACATGTTGCATGAGGAAGAATAACCCTATATGCCTAAGAATAAGATTGTTAGTATTATTTCGAAAAGCATTTTGGATGACAATGTAATCTGAGACAAATTACTCTATTTCGGACAAAATTTCAGATTTTCATTACTGTCAGTCAAACTCTTCCTGATGACTTTAAGTATTCTCAATAAAAACCCAGTGTCGCACACTGAATGAAACGGTATAAATGGTGGTAATTGTGTTAAGTCCCCAGCTAAAATGTCACACTTTCTGCCTAGTATGGAGTAGCCTTACGAAAAGCAGGTGGTAGTAGCTCTGATTTTTCAAGGGGAAAAAGCAAAACTTGTAAGCAAAAAGTAGACAGTGTAACGTAGTTCGGCTACACTCCAGAAATATGTGGTGTCGATCATGGTGTACACTGAACCGTCTGCTTATTCGCCATTTCACTGCAGACAAGGTCATCGTTGCTTGATCGTATACTAGTTGGTGAAAGACTGGGGAAATGTGATCAGAAGTATTGTTTTACCTTTCAAAGGCGTTCATTTACAGACTGTGGCATCGATTAACCGTTTTTTGTCTCTTTAAGAATAAATAATCGTATTGCCGAACAGTTTTCCGTTGATCTGAGTCGGTTACAGTGCGTGGTATTCTAAGTAGTAGGCTTACTCTTCTAAAGCCAGCAATAGGCCCACGATCTGTGCGATCTGGATATTTGACATTTATTGGTCATCTCCACTGGTAGTTCCTGATCGATCTCCGACACCTGTTCCCTCTCCTTGGAGTGGGTTAATTAGTCTCTCTGGAAATCCGCTCACTGTTCTACTCGTATTTACTAAGTCTCCCACAGCTAGTTCCTGGAAAGGTGCCACTGGAACACAATTTTGGCTTTTTGGTGATGTTCAGTAGTGCCTAGGCCAAAGTAAAGTCGTGGCAACACGGGGACAGACAAAAAAGTAAGCTATGAAGATTCGCTTCATGACTGTGATAAGTTGTCTGAGGTTATGTCTGATAAAATTGATGATCATGTAGTTGCATCCAAGGAAGAAAAATGCGCTAGCCGCCGTGTATCAGTGAACACCCAGATGACTATACCCATTTTGTGAAGGCGACTGAAGTTACACTTAGTGGTTTGGGATTTGACGGTTACATGAAGTTTACGTATTTGCTAAGATATTGCACTGGTGCTGCTGCTAGGGCAAGACAGTATTGTTAGTTCTTGACCCCAAAGCAGGGATATACCGAAGCGAATATTGTGACAAAGACTTTGAAGGCCTTCTTTATTTCCGGAAGTGTATTCGAATCCGTTAGGCGCGATGGCACGCAGCTAACTGTAGCTTCGAAGAACTCACTGAGACTTCAGAAAGTTTGGTGACTTACAGAAACAACTTAGTTTCATTTCATCGTATTGACGAATGGAATTCGAATTGTTTATAGAAGTAAATGCTGAAAGATTGTCCACCCGCTTACATAAAAAAGCGGACAGAGGTTATTATTATTATTGTATCCTTTAGTTCCTAGAGGAACATAGGGCTTCAGCTGCGCACCTCCATTGACTTCGGTTTTCTGACAACTTTTTCACCCTGCTCCAGGTCTGTCCACATGCTTTCATCTCCTCCTCGCATGACCTCCTCCAAGTCACCCTTGGACGACCAACTCGCCGCCTCCCTTTCGGGTTCCACTCGAGGGCTTGTCTAGTGATGTCACTTGATGGTTTCCTCAGCGTATGGCCAATCCATCTCCATTTCTTTCTGCCTATTTGTTTCACAATCGGTTCCTGATTGGTTCGCTCCCAGAGATCCCTGTTGCTGATCTTTTCTGGCCATCTGATCTTGAGTATTGAGCGGAGACAGTTGTTAATGAAGGTTTGAAGTTTGTTTGAGATGCTCTTTATGACTCGCCAAGTCTCTGATCCGTATAGTAGCACTGACTTCACATTGGAGTTGAAAATCCGGATCTTATTTTTGATGCTGATTGCTGTTGACCTCCACACAGATTTGAGAGTAATGAAAGCTTGTCTTGCTTTTCCGATTCTGGCTTTGATGTCCTCGTCAGTTCCGCCTGTAGTTGAGACGATGCTTCCCAGGTAGGTGAAGGAGGTTGTTTCTTTCAGGTTCTTCCCACTTATGCTGGTTGTTGTCTGTTGTTGTTGTTGCTGTTGATGTTGGCTAGGAATCTTCATTATCTCTGTTTTATCTATGTTCACGTGAAGTCCTATCTTTGATGCTTCTTCTGCCAACTTGTTACTTTTCACTTGCATATCTTCCAGTTTATGGGAAATCAGACATATATCATCGGCAAAATCCAGATCCTCCAAGTCTTTTGTGTCAGTCCATTTTATGCCTGTTCCCTCGTTGGTTGCCGTTGTCTGTCGCATTATCCAATCAATTGCAATCAGGAAGATCATTGGTGATAGTAGACAGCCTTGCCTCACTCCCGTCCTCACTTCGAAGGCTTCCGTAAGTTTCCCGTTGTGGATTACTTGGCATGCAGCATTGTCGTATAACTGTTGGATGAGGTGTATAATTGTCGATGGGACCCCGTAGTAGCGAAGTAGTTGTCAAATCACCTCTCGATCGACGCTGTCGAAGGCCTTTTCAAAGTCGATGAAGTTGAGATAAAGAGGTGACTCCCATTCCAAGCTTTGTTCAATGATGATCCGTAGAGTGGCGATTTGATCAATACATGATTTGTTTCTCCTGAATCCAGCCTGTTCCGGACGAAGTTTTTCATCTAGGGCTTGTTTGATTCTCTCCAGGATGATGCGACTTAGTATCTTGCTTGGAATGGACAGAAGCATAATTCCACGCCAGTTTTTACATTGACTTAAGTCTCCTTTCTTTGGAAGTTTGAATAAGTAACTGTTCTTCCAATCCTCGGGTACTTTGCCCTCTTTCCACACCTTCGCCAGCAGTGGTGTCATCAAGTCCGCTGTTGTCTCTGGGTCTATTTTCAAAGCCTCTGCTGGGATTCCATCTGGTCCCGGTGTTTTCCCAGCTTTAAGCATCTTGATTGCATTCAGGACTTCTGATTTCGTCGGGGGGTCAGTGTTCACTGGTAGTTCTGCTTCCGTTGTTGGTATTGCTGGACGTGTTGTAGGTGGCGGACGATTTAGAAGTCTTTTGAAGTGTTCAACCCAGTGCTTTCTCTGTTCCACCTCTTTGGTGATTGACTTTCCATTGTCGTCCTTTATTGGCTTAATCTGTGTCGAACGTTTGCCCGAAAGGTTCCTAGTTGTTTGGTAGAGTGTGGCGAGGTCTCCTTTGCCTGCAGCTTGTTCTGCTTCGTTTGCCATGGTTTCATGATATTTTCTTTTGTCTTCCCTGGCACTTTTCTTCACTCTTTTGTTCAGTGTATTGTAGCTTGCATTCAGCTCCTGTTTTTGTTGCTCGTCAGTGCACTGGATAATCTTTTGCTTCACTGTCCTTCTCTCTTCTATTAGTTTCCAAGTGTCCGTAGTGAGCCACTGTTTGTCCTGTCTCTTTTTTCTGCCTAGAATTTCTATGCAGGTTTGGCTCCACACCGTTTTCAAGTTGTTCCAGTGCTTTTCGACGCTGACCTCTTCGCTGGTGTTGATTTGTATCTCAGCTTTGTCCTTTATGCTTGCAATGAAGATGTCCTTTGTAGCCTGGTCCTTCACAGCACTTGTATTCCGTATCTTTTCATCTCGTTGGCGATCTGGGCAGCTTTCCCAGTCTCGTACATAGTTCGGACGTTCCATGTTCCTACACAGACTTTTTCTTTTGGTGCAAGGAGGTTCATCATACTGAAGTTTCTTTAGCAATTTTGTTTACAGGGTGGGTTGCTAGCCTCACGCCTGAGAAAAGAATGATTACATTAAGTTAAATGTACTGAACTATATTGCATGTTGTCTTATTGTATAGTTGTCGTCGCTTTTTGCCCTTTTTTCTGTGAACTGTTTCCTTTGTTGATGTTGTTCTCATTGTTTGTCCGTTATTTTCTGATTTTGAGGGGAGCAACCCAAAAAGTTGCTTCTCTCTAAACTTTTACTTAATGTAATCATTCTTTTCTCAGGCGTGAGGCTAGCAACCCCACCCTGTAAACAAAAATTGCTAAAGAAACTTCAGTATGATGAACCTCCTTGCACCAAAAGAAAAAGTCTGTGTAGGAACATGGAACGTCCGAACTATGTACGAGACTGGGAAAGCTGCCCAGATCGCCAACGAGATGAAAAGATACGGAATACAAGTGCTGGGAATATGTGAGAGCAGATGGAATGGGAGTGGACTCACCAAATTGTCAACAGGTGAGTCAGTGATCTACTCCGGTCACCCAGAAGATAACCACACGCACACCGAGGGCGTGGCTATCATGATGTCACCAACGGCAACGAAAGCCCTGATACAATGGGAGGCGATTTCGTCCAGGATAATGACCGCCAGGTTCAACTCCAAAGGAAGGAAAGTGTCAATCATACAATGTTATGCACCCACAAACAACGCAGACCTCGAGAAGAAAGAAGAATTCTACAGGCAACTACAGGCAACAATGGACAATACTCCAGCTGGCGACATGAAAATACTAATGGGAGACATGAACGCCAAACTGGGACCAGACAATACGGGAAGGGAACTCATCATGGGTAGAGAAGCTCTAGGAGAAATGAATGAAAACGGAGAACTCTTCGCCGACTTCTGCGCCTTCAACGAACTGGTGATTGGTGGCAGTGTATACAAGCACAAAGATATCCACAAGGCTACATGGGTGTCACCAGACGGGCAAACCAAAAACCAAATCGACTTCATCTCAATCTCAAGGAAGTGGAGGCGCAGCCTACTGGACACAAAAGCAAGAAGAGGAGCAGACGTTGGCTCAGACCACTATCTCGTACAAGGGACAATCCAAATCAAATTAAAAGCTTTCAGGGAATCAGGAGCTGCAGATAGACCACAAGCCAAGTTCAACACTCAAAAGCTGAA